GAGTGGCACAGCAGATATGGTGGACGCTCGTGCACCTGAATACCTCTCAAATTCCCGGTCCCGGAATAATCGTTTGGATAGACACGTCAGGCTCCGATTATCTTGCTTGGCATGCCACGTGGGTTCCTCATTGGATCCTATAAATACCTCCCGGGTCACGTCAAAAAGGTAATTGAAACCAACCTTAAACTTTTCTTATCTCCGCCCTAAAGGTAGCCCCGATTATTGCTGACTTAAACATCGGAGTGTCTACCCCGAGTTCCACCTCGGGGCTTTGCAAGTCATTCCGAAGTGCAGTTGCGGACTGAGAAGGACTTCTGGTTTGATGCAATTACATTATTTTTTTATATAACTTTCACATGTTATTAAGTGAGTTAATACATTTAATATTACGAGTTCCACGTGAATTAAAAGAATCAATTATTTTAATAACATGTTAAGTTGTACAAAAAATTAAGATAAAAAAATTATACAAAAATCATTTTTTAATCATAATATCCATAACGAAAAAAAAAAAAACCTAACATCTCAACATATTTAAAGATACTTTAAGATTAGAATGAAAACCTTAGATATGGCATGAAAATTTTATATCATACCACAAAACTTTTTTGCAGTGGCAAGAAAACCTTTCAAGAAAAATTCAAATACCAACGTGCTATTTTTTGTGCATCATCGAAGAAAATACTTTAAATTAATCCTCCACATTACTTGCACTTCTTTGCGTATCATTGAAGGAACCTATTAGTCCGATAACCTAGGTTGCCTCCTTCATGAAGTATTTTTCTTGTTTTGGATACTAAAGAATTTCCCTTTCAAAAAAATAAAAATGAAGAAAAAAGAAGAAGAAGAAGGTAAACACATTTATATATGTTAAACTCTTCAACTAATTCATTTTTGCATATGAGCCTTAAAGTTACTTTTAAAAGTAAATAACTCCTTAACACTTCAAGTTCAAGATGAGCAAAATTACAAACCAATGTTAAGGGGATTCTCGCATGTGAGGCTGATGTCTAGTATCCTTACACTTGTGTGAGACAGGCTTTTCACACTAGCGTTAATTTAAAGAATAAATAAGCAAATTAATTTTCCGCACACACTAGCCTTAATGTAGAAAAGTAAGTATCATACAAGCATAAAGTGATAGATGTTAGCCTCACTTACAATCATATACATTTAAAGTTTAATTAATTTTTAAACTTTTTCCTCTAAAGTTAAAGGGTTTATCATTTAAAGTTAAATTCTTTCTTTACATTCTATATATTATTCTTATTACAATCAAAGATCGTAATAATTTTTCTTTTAATTAATATCCTTTACTTTTCATAATCCCTTAAAAATCCTAAATATCACAGGCAAAAACGTGCATGCACGTGACCGTGAGACTCGCCAGGGGAAATTAATTAAAAGTTGTTAAGGATTTACATGCAAAACTGATGTTAGTTTAGGTACTTTAAATAGGGTTTTGCCAGTAAAAAGTGAACTAGTACTAAGATAAGGGAATTGGTCAAATTCTTTTTATGAGGAAAAAGCAAATTCATGGGATTTCTTTTCTTTATTCTTCTTCTAGATTCTTCTTGTTTAATCTGTCTTTTTCAAAGATTTAGTTTGTAGTGAGGAGACAATGAGTTTCAAGCAACTAATTTGGGAAAGTAGTTATGAGTTTGAAGGGAGAGGCCCGCAGGTGAGGTCTTGCTCTGTTTCAGTAGGATTGGGCATTGTCAAGTTCTGAAGGTTTCAAATCATTAAACCTGCCATGGGCTTTTCAAGATTCGTGCATTTTCAAGATGGGTTTCACATGAAATTTCTATTTATGTGTGGGTCCTGTGGATGTGAACATTTAATGTGGCAACTTTTCAGCGCTCGGAAAATGTTCGATGAAATGGGTGAGAGAAACTTAAGTTACTTGAAACGCTTTTACTTCTGGTTATTTTTGCACATTAACTTGCAAATTGCCCTTTGATTGTTTATAAAACTGTGAAAATTGGAAGCGACGCGTATTTGGCAAAAATAGCCCATGACCCATTGACCCAAGGACACTGCTTGAGTAGGAAGTTGACTTGCAGTCCAAAAAAGAGTAAACCCCGAAAGGAAGTAGATCGACAACAAGAAGTAAAAAAAGGACCCCTTCGAGGAAGTAGCCATTACCCAATCATCAAAGACAGCTTCTAACCCAAGTTCTAGATAAAGCAAATAATATATTATCAGGCATAAGTAAGGAATGCATACATTGTCGTGTTTGTAGACAGAAGTGTGAGTTCGAGAGTTCTTAGTTCTGATATGGCAAAAGAATTATCCTGTGATCTCCTCCTTGATGGCTGGAACAATCACACAATCTTCCCATCAGATGAAGATTATGCTGAAGAACTGCAGCTCCAGGAGGCCCTGCAAATGTCTATGATCTGTTCTCAGATGAACAAAGATGACCCCTCATCCTCATCAATGGCATTGCAACATACAACTCCAGCCTTAGCTGCAAAAGAAGGTGAATCATCTCTTCCTCTAAATGTGAATAGATTTGTGCCCATAATTTCCTTTGAACTGCATGAAAGCAAAATTCTTTAACCTTGCCAGGTTTAGATTACAACAATTTGCTTGAGCCTATTGTCTGGGAGGAAGCAATATCCCAAGTTATCAAGAAATCTGAGTGTTCAGTCTGCCATGAATTATTTTGCACCAAATGCTCAGTTCCTAGTAGTTCAGGGATTGAAGGGGAGAAGCAACAGGGGATGGATGAGGGTGAGAGAAGAGAAGATACCATAGGGAAGCAACCTGTTAGGGATAAGAAACTGGGGAGACGGTCTCCAGACAAGTTTCATATGAAAAGAACACAAGGCTTTTCACAAACCACTTCTGATTCCAAGTTAGTGCTGCTTTTATTGTTGTTTCTTTTAATGTAGTATAGTTTTGATGTCTTCCTCTCGAATGTTCCTTTTGATTGAAATTGATTCAATGCGATGATCTTGCAGCGAAAGACTGAACAAATTAATCAAAAAAAAGGGAAAAAGTGTAGTAGATTCCAGCATCTATTCTGCGCAAGATGCTGACTACTCAGATTTCTCTAGAGGCACTGAAGGTCATATTGTAAAATACTGTGCTACTCAGAAATCCAGTCCTTCAAGGAGTTCAAAAGAAAGCTGTGTTGTTCAAGATGTTATTGATGATGGTACATTTGATAACGGTGATGAGTATTATTCTGATTTGGGCCCAAAGAGCCATGAGGCAGGAAAGAATAGCAGATGGTTTAAGAAATTCTTCGAGGGATTAGAAGCACTGAGTATCGAAGAGATCAATGGACACAAATGCTCATGCAACTGTCCGGTTTGCCCAGATGGTACTGGTGCTGTCAAGAGGTTCCAGGGCCTCGAGGACCTTATTACTCATGCCAAAACAGAAGTAGCGAGGGTAAAGCTACACCGGGAATTTGCAGAACTTTTAGAAGTGGAGGTGCTTCAAAAGCGTATGGTAGCTACTCCCGAAGCCACAGTCAATTTGGTTGGTAAATGGAATGGTTTAAATGGGGAGGAGGATCATCAAATTGTTTGGCCTCCCATGGTTATCATTAAAAACACAAGCATTTGTATTGCTAACAAGGTAAGACAATCATATTTTCTTACTAAATATGACTTGTTGATGGAACTTAGAACTTGTCATGTACTGCTCTACCTAGAAGGCTTAAACTGTCATTTCAGTGTTATTCATTGATAGAATGAACATTTTTTTTTTAATTGAATTGGATCCAGTGGATTGGCATGGGAAGTCAAGAGCTCCTTGAGCTGTTCAGCTCATATGCTGCCATTCAGGCTCATCACTTCTATGGTCCCCTCGGTCACCGTGGTGTAAGCATCTTAATCTTTGAGAGCTCAGCAGAGGGTTATTTGGAGGCAGAGTTTCTGCATAGGAGCTTTTCCAAGCAAGGACTAGGAAGAAATGCTTGGGATTCTCGTCCACCCGTGGAAATATTACAAGGTGGAAAGCATCAGCTTTATGGTTACTTGGCAGAGAAGGAAGAACTGGATTTCCTGAACCAACATAGTCGAGGTTCTCTTTCTTGTCCTTCTCAATATTACCTTTTTAGTGTTTATTTTCTCTTCCAGCTTAGAAGTTAAATGCTTACATGGTCTTGATTAGGTAAATCAAAGCTGAAATTTGAGATGAAATCGTACAGAGATGCGATTATGAACCAAATTGCGAAACTGAGCAGGGACAGCCAGCAAATTACCCGGGTGAAGCAAAGGCTTGCAGAACAAGAAACAAATGTGGTTATGCTTGGCGAATCAGTTGATGCTCTGAGTAAGAAGTTGTCTCTGAAAAAAGAGGAGATGTCTAAATTTAGACAAAAAGTTCAGCAAGAGCAGGAAGAACACAAGGAAGAGGTAATACCAAAACCAGTTGTATTCTTGTCTTGTTATATTTTCCTTGCTAGCTATAGTTTGATTGACTGGATGTTGGAATTCTGTCTCTAAGATGGAATTCCAAGAGAAATTTTTCAAGGACCAAATCAAAATTCTGGAGGGACACGTGAATGAGAAAGCACATGAGATGTCCAATATTGAAGAGTATTAAGATAACCAAATGGAGTACACTGACATAGAATGTGCGATGGTGAAATTGGATGAAGCACAAGAGTGGGGATTACTTGATAACGAGTGATGAACTTTCTCCAGCAGAGATTCTGCATGATCAGTTTTATTTTACAGCGAATTTTTTTATATATTATTGATCCCTTGAAGATGGTATGTTATTATATTATGAAGCCTTTGGTGTGCTAGTAAGAACGCATATATGCTGTGGTCTTGAGACTTTTTCTCTTGAAGTTTGAATCTAATATTGATGATGTATTCATTATGATAGCAACTCTTTTGATATTAATGTTTAATAATTTGGTAACTTCGTTGAATCATCTGTGCCATGAACCACCTAGCTAAAATTACATGAAAATCCCTGTCTGATGCTGACCATGGCATAGCTTGCTAATATTGTGTATGCATGATTGCATCATTTGCTGCAATACTTGGTCAATATCCAATTTTATTCTCCTGAAACTGATTTGAGACACTTGGTTGATCTTGTATCTAGGGAAGGAGCTTGGGCAAAATTTTGAGGGGGGACGGCAATATATATATATATATATATATTATCATATACAAATATAATATAAATTCAAAGAATGAAAAGTCAGGACTACCTAGCAAGATGAGGGCTATTCATCATGTGGTTCCCACGTGGATCCTAATGTGGGGATCACATGATGGATAACCCTGATCTTGTCAAGATTGTCAAGTGATCTTGTCAAGATTGTCAAGTAATCTTGACTTTCCACAATCCCATGTAAATTTTAGAATATAAATAACCCACAAATAAATTTAGTAACTATTATATTTGTTCCTTTGACTAAAAATTTGTGACAAACTAATTAGTATTTTTTTTTAATTTCAAAATAGACAAATATTTTTTCCTCTTTAACCATACTTTTTATCTTTAAGTTTTATTCTTCGTCATATTTATAGGTATATTCTATAGTATAAACTACAAGTCCCCCTTTGATTGCAGTGGGGGTGCAAACTGGTCTAGAACATATTAACCAAGGAAAAAATAAAAAACTCTAAGATGATAAATATGGGTTTGTTAGAGTTTAGATTGACTATGTATAAAATTAACCAAGAATAAAGGAGATCAGGTTAATTAAATTCCCTTAACAAAAAACTCAAAACATAGTTAACATAACAAAGTGCAGTAAAGAGCATCCCAATTGAGGTAATTGATCAAACACTTCGTGTGCACAATTTAAAGAAATTTTACTTCTCACTCAATATCCAAAACTCAAAATATTTAAAATCAAGTACTAAATTATGATCAAAATACAAGCAAATTCTAAAACTACCAAAAAACTGTTACTATTTATCTAACAATGAAATAAATATGAAAACTAATAAAAGTAAAATATATCATACATATTAATTTTTTTTCAAAATCTTAAGGGGGGGCCATGGCCCTAACGGCGCTCCGTCTATGCTTGTATCATAACCTTATAATAGTACTTGATCAAAAGAAATTAAAAGCAAGATAAAGAATTTCTTAATTCAAAAAATGTACTGACATCTTGGTGAACTCAGATTGCTGTGAAATAGCCAAAGATATGGTCAAAGCACCTTAGTTTTCGGAGTGGTTGTTTCTTTTTGTCCTTTTTTTTTTTTTTTGAGGAAAATGATTTTATGATAATTTTTTTATACTTTTTTTTTTGGCACAATCTAATGTATTATTTAAATTATTAATTCTTTTTATTTATGTGCGATTCATAATATTGAATGCATTCACTTATTTAATGATATATAAAAATTATCCCTATAGCACCGTCCTATTATAACCTTATAATAGTACTTGATCAAAAGAAATTAAAAGCAAGATAAAGAATTTCTTAATTCAAAAAATGTACTGACATCTTGGTGAACTCAGATTGCTGTGAAATAGCCAAAGATATGGTCAAAGCACCTTAGTTTTCGGAGTGGTTGTTTCTTTTTGTCTATTTTTTTTATTATCTAGTCAAGCGTTTCAGTTGCTTAGACGTGTATCAATGCATAAAAAATTTCCTAGCAAATTACGAGTAAATGAATTAAACAGTATTTAAAGGTAACTTGCTAGCAAAGCAGACTACAGATTTTGCTAAACATTAACCAGAGTTCTGCTCCAATGGCAACAACATCAACATCTGTGCTTGGCTTCATGGATTTTCTCTTTGCATCTGATCTTTTTGATGGAGAAAAGTTCCTGGTATCAGATGCCAAATATGCTGAAGATTTACATTTTCAAGAGGATCAGTTGTCTTTTGCAATCTCTTCTCAACTGATCATCGACAGTATCCCTGAGCTACCAGAGACAACAAATGATGAAGCTGGTCAGTCCTACTCCTCACAGAGCTTCTGTGAGATATGCCTTGAAAGAAAAGATAAGGATCAGATGTTCACAATTGGGAGCTGCTTTCACTCCTTCTGTTCTGACTGCATTAGCCAGCATGTCATAACAAGGGTCCAGCAAAGCACAATCACATGTCCAGAAGTGAACTGTAAATCTGTGTTGGAGCTGGATGCCTTAAGGCCCTTGCTTTCTAAAGAAGTAATCATTCGTTGGAAAGATGCACTTTGTGAAGAATTTATTCGTCCCTTACCAAAATTTTACTGTCCTTTTGAGGATTGCACGGCCATGTTTGTGGTTGATAGTAAAGGAGAAGACATCAGGCAATCGGAGTGCCAATTCTGCCACCGAATGTTCTGTGCAAAGTGTGGAGTCCCTTGGCATCCAGGGGTCAGATGTGAGGAGTTCAAGGAGTTGGATGAGAGAAACAGAGATGATCTCATGTTGAGGAAACTTGCCAAGGAGAAAAACTGGGGTAGGTGTCCCCACTGCAAGGTCTATGTTGAAAGAACAGATGGTTGCCCTCATATGACCTGCAGGTCAGTATATACTATATATTCCAAATTATGATGTCCAAGTTATCTTTGTATTATATTTATAGTTTTAAACTCTTACCAGTTAAGACACTTTCTTAGAGTCATTAATTGTTCTTTTTATTAATGGGACTTTTCTCCTTTTCTTTTTTTTTTTTTTTCTTTTTTTCCTCATAAAAAATTGTTGTTTCAGGTGTAAGTTCCAATTTTGTTATGGATGTGGAGAAGAATGGACAAAGGACCATGGTGGTTGTGAAAGAAACTGAGACTATAAAAATAAATTTTAAGAAAATGGAATATTTACTCACAGCATATTTCATGTTTTCTGAAGTTTGATTGGGTTTTTAGCGCTATAGACTGGGAGGCATGAATGTATAGAGGGTCTTTGGTTCAAATGAGAAAGGTCAAGGAAAAAGAATGTACTCTGTATTTGGCATTTAAGATCATTTTCACTCGTCTTCTTCTTCTTTTGATCAAATTGAAATTAGTTCCATATATTAATTAAGTGGAGGAAGGAGAAATGAAATTCATGAGGTTCGAACACCTCACTGAGAGGAAGTAAATGACCCTAACTCAAACTCCATGCCATTGGGTTGAAATAAGTTGTACAACATTAATTTCACTTGTTGATTTATATTAAAATTAAAAAATATATAAAAAATTATTTATTTATTAGTTAATCAGTAAGGTAAAACAAAAAGTGTGAAGTAAATTTTTTTACCAACGAAGCTACCATATATTTCTCCTTTAGTAGCAAAACCACAAAAGCCATGGTTGGACACGAGCCCTACCATGGCTCTTAAAAATTAAAATAAATAGATCTATACCAAGGTTTTAGTGAAAAAGAGGTTGAAAGCCCTGGCATGAATCTTTTCTAAGGAGAAGAATCTCTTTACAGGGAGAAAAATGACTCAAGCTCTATTCATGATCTACTTCTGGTTCCACCATTGTTCTCTTTTTTCTTTTAGTTTGATTATCCAAAATAATAATAATAATAATAAAGTTCTAAGACTACTACCCGACAATAGACATCTTCAAAATCTTTGAAATTGTATAAATTATAAAAGAAAAAAGAAAGAAAAGAAGTAATGCAGTTAGAAGATTGTATGGCTATTTTCCCCCCAAATTTTGGACCAAAATGAAAATGCTAGAAAGAAAGCGAAAAAGAATGGAAAAAGATAGTTGAAAAGACTTGAAAACAATCCAACACCATACCTAACTAGCTGGTGAATATATAACTTCAAAGGGCCCAATAGAGCCCATCTTGAATGACACACATGGAAAAGGACAGGAGTGACAGTGTTCCCGAGTTCCAAGCCCAACAACGACAAACCCAAGAAAACAACACCATATCGGACGGACACAACGTTTTCTGCGACCACAAAGCAGAGATCAATTAATGGAGGCATTATTATGAGAAAGGAAGTTTTATCTACTGTAAACAGGATTAGTTGTTGGGTTCTTAATGTGAAAATTGCAGTATCATTATAGAGCCTTTTTTGGGGCTTTATTACCCAAGATGTGGCAAATAATGTAGTCCGTAAGTACTTTGCTCTCTATTGTAAATCAAGGTTCGATTCTTTGAAAAAATTTTTTTTTTGATAATTTCTGGTAAATCTCTAAATTTTAGCATAAATTATCTATTTTTGACTATATAAGTCTAGATAGACCATGAATGTCCCTCCCCCAAAAGTCCTATTATAAATAATTTGTCTTTAACTATAGAGGTCCCAATAACTTTAATTTGAGTACTTCCTCTTTAACAATTATCTTGTTTCCAAAAAAAGTTAAAAATATGAAAAAAAAAAAAAAAAAAAAAAAAGGACTTTCCTTCCGATGGCAGTCCTAGAGAATAGATCTTAATTTCATGATCATGGGAACAAAAATTATGTTTCCATGAGTGAACATGTTAAACATATCCTAATCACCCATCTAGTCAAACGTTTGTAAAGCAATCTATATTCTTTTGCATTATGCTAAGTGCTAAGACAGAACAATCTGACTACACAATCCACATTACATGGAATCCAATGCTTGCTTAGCTTAAACCAACAAAAATCTTCTCTGCTTCACCCACGAATCCACAATCCTATTGGACTCAAATTAAGTCAGCCACTTTTCTTTAAACTGTCCAAATAAAAGAGAGAATGACATCCTTTTTCTTGTAACTTGGACATTCCAAATCCTTCTCCTAATAATATATGCTTTTTGGGTCTAAATTAGAAGAAGTACAAACCACCAAGGCACCAACCTTATCTTTTTATCATTTGTCCAATTAGTTTTCAACCGAAAAAGGAAGTCCTATTTTGATAATATTTAAAGAGATATACCCAAGATTTGGCAATATGAAAATATTAGGTCCCAATTGCTGATTTCTGATCATGGAAGTACATATTGAGTGGATGAGGCTGCTTCGTTTGGTGTTTCTCTTATTTGATTAAACAGAAGATGGTTTTGGCTTGGATGGAATCTTTGCAATTTTAAAGAAAGAGTTCCCTTCTAATTTTTATTGTGATCTCAAAGGCATGCAGCATGCTAGCTATAGTAGCTTCCACACCATTTGTTTACTTATGCACATTATTGAATCCTAGAGCAGAAAACCCAAGGAAAGTTGGAATTGTCGTCTCTGATGCTACTGCCAATTATAATTTAGAAATATCAGTTTAAATTGACCATCAATATTTTCTTATATGAAATGGACAAAAATTGACTCCTAAAACAAAAGGAACTAATGAGATGAAATTGAGTGACTGTAATGCAGCATGTATGGTTTTTCTAATATTTCGTAGGTGATTAATCATTGTCAAATTGATTATGACATCAATAAAACTTTTCATTATTGTATCTGAAATTGACCAATGAAGTGTACATGAGAAACATTCAAAACCAATTGGAAAGAATCCAAATTATCCTCAAATAAAAAAATCCGGTAACTAACTGTAAAATAATTGTCAATTTGAGTATTTATCAAAATTTTAATTTGAATTTAAATGGCTCCATTTTGAATAACCCCTTTCACTTCTTTTTTGATATAGGCTATGCTTGGCTTAATCACTTTGAATAATGCATAGTTGATTGTTAAAATATATCTTAATAGCTTATGATATTTAAATTATGAAGAACTACAAAAATCAATAATCGTCAGATATCTATTATTAATTATCAATTGTAACAGTAAATAAATAAAATTTAAATATTAAATTAGTCTTTTAAGTTATTTATAATACGTTTTGAACAAGTCATTTCTTTAAGTTAATTAAAAGTGGATTATCTAAAAATAAACTCATAAATTTAAAGACATATAGAAGATTGACCACCGAAGAAGTGATAGGAGACATACATGTATTATAGACAATAGTGGATGCTGAAAATTTTATGGTGTAGAAAGGGTTATGATTGGTGGAATTGTGTTAGGTAGAGAGAGCCTTCCAGAGGAAGAAAGGTTTTTAAGAGTGCACCACCCACCACTACCAAGTTGACAAAACCCACGCCGGAACCA